CCCACGCCTGTCCGCACCCCTGACTCTGGGCTCCCTATCCCCTGCCGCCGACCTCCCTCCGAGCGCTACCCACCCCCTTTTCGTGCGAACGGACCTTGGGTTCCTCCTGCCCCCTCTTTGCAGGAGGGGAGACCCTCCTGGGGGCGCCTTCCCTCCCCACCCCAGCCCCCCGTCCTCCGGTGGCCCAGGGCGAGCCGCTTGACCTCTCTGAACCTCCGTTCCCTTGGCTGTTGCGGGGGGCGGGGGTTGGGGGGAGAATTAAATGCGATTATACACGTTGTTTCCGACAAGGAGACCAGTTACAGACTCTCCGTCCCTTGCAGCGTCCGCGCGGTCCAAGTTCTATGTTCGGGAGCCGCTGCACGACAAGCCTGATTGGCTGAAAGTGGGGCTGACCTTGGGCACCACCGTCTTCCTGTGGGCCTATGTAAGTCTTGACTCCCAATGCAATAGGATAGTTATGTATGTGCTGATAACATATTTCTCCGTGAAGGAAATGCCAAGGATTGCAAGTATTAAGGTTTTAGGGGCATTGAGAAGATAGGGTGAAGCTGAAATGTGTCATTCATTGTTACTTAGCATGGGTTTCTCATGAGTGGCGGTGTTACTAAAGGGTGTCCCAAAATTCACGCAAGAAGTAATTTTGATAGAAAACACAGGTTTATAATTAAAAATTGTAAATTTTTTATTGATTCATAAAGTATACAGTCTAGGGTTATGTATGGAATAGCATATCAGGTAAATGGCCTCCACGGCTTTGCTGGCACATACGCAAAGCCTTGGTCTTCATTGTCCCTGCTCCTGGGCCATCATTGGTACTTGGTGATGCTTATCAAATTGAAGGGATTGAAATCAAAGGGCAACAGATATTAGAATCTGATTCAATAAACCAAGTAAAATTAGGCTTTTATTTCACCCACGCCTTGAAGGAGAAAATTGAGTGCTGTATCAACGAAATTCAGCCACATTTATGCAAACGGTCATGGAAAATTTCAACAAAAGAGTGCATATGTGCTAGCAAAGCCATGGAGGCCATTTACCCGAAATGCTATTCCGTACATAACCCTATACTGTATACTTTATGAATCAATAAAAAATTTACAATTTTTAATTATAAACCTGTGTTTTCTATCAAAATTACTTCTTGCGTGAATTTTGGGACACCCTTTACTTATTATCCTATATTCTTTTTTTTTTTTTTAATATGTATTTATTGATTTCAGAGAAGAAGGGAGAGGGAGAGAGAGATAGAAACTTCAGTGATGAGAGAGAATCATTGATCAGCTGCCTCTTGCACGCCCCACACTGGGGATGGAGCCCACAATCCTGGCTTGTGCCCTGACCGGGAATTGAACAGTGACCCGAACCGTGACCTCCTGGTTCCTAGGTTGATGCTCAACCACCAAGTCACGCTGGCTGGGCTGTGTCTACTAGTAATTTCTTAAGGAGGATGGAGACTGGTTGGGGTTTTATGAAGGCACTTTTCTCAGCTGTCGTAGAGACAAACCATCAATGAACAGGTATATAAGTTAAATTACATTAGATTTCCAAAATATAAGATTTTAAAAAATTGATTTGGGCGGGAAGGAGAGAGAGGGAGAGAAAACATCAGTTATTGTTCCGCTTATTTATGCATTCATTGGTTGCTTCTTGTATGTACCCTGACCAGAAACCTTGGTGCATCTGGAGGATGCTCTAACCAACTGAGCTACCTGGCCAGGGCCAAAACATAAGATTTTAATCATTGGTTTGTATAAATACATTGTTGGAAATTATACTTACTGTGTAGGTATATCAGCCTTTCTTCTTCTTCTTTTTTTTTTTTTTTTTGGTCTTTACAGTATGCCAAATGCTTTATATATAAAAATTAATTTAGCCCAGCTGGCTTGGCTCCATGGTTGAACATCAACCTATGAACCAGGAGGGCACAGTTCAATTTCCGGTCAGGGCACATGCCAGGTCTGTGGATTCAATCTCAATGTAGGGTGTGCAGGAGGCAGCCGTTCAATGATTCTCTCTCATCATAGATGTTTCTATCTCTCTCCCTCTCCCTTCTCTGAAATCAATAAAAAAAATATTTTAAAAATACTCATTTAATATTCTCAACAACACTATGTAGGTACTATTATTGTTGAACTTTAACAGATGCAGAAAATACTTGGAGAAATTAGTTTGCTGAATCTGCTTCTCCCTAACTTCAGACCTAGCTACACTGTAGACCAATCTGAAATACTGCTTCCTTATAGATAAAATTTTTAAAAGTTAACTCAAAGTATCTGTGCTACATTAGTATTTAAAATTTTTGTTTTGTACCTAAAGGGGTTGGGCTTCCTCCACTGCCCCTAACTCCATCTCTTTAGGTCTCTTATTTTGGATTTTCTCATTAAAGTGATTCAGTTCTTTCAAATTGAAATGAGTAAGAGGTGTTGAAAGTCACTTACAACCTAACAACAGTAACTAATCCTTTTTAAATAATGTTATAATGAAATTTTTTACATTCTTTTTTTAAAAATATATTTTATTGATTTTTTACAGAGAGGAAGGGAGAGAGAGAGAGTTAGAAACATCGATTCAGCTGCCTCCTGCACACTCCCCACTGGGGATGTGCCCGCAACCAAGGCACATGCCCCTGACCGGAATCGAACCTGGGACCCTTCAGTCCGCAGGCCGACGCCCTATCCACTGAGCCAAACCGGTTAGGGCATTTACATTCTTAATTTAAAGTTTTCCTGAAATGGAGCTTTATTGCTGCTTGAGGGCTCTGATTAAAATTAAATCTTTGATTTCAGCGAATGTCACCCTATATCAGTGATGGCGAACCTTTTGAGCTCGGCGTGTCAGCATTTTGAAAAACCCTAACTTAACTCTGGTGCCGTGTCACATATAGAAATTTTTTGATATTTGCAACCATAGTAAAACAAAGACTTGTATTTTTGATATTTATTTTATATATTTAAATGCCATTTAACAAAGAAAAATCAACCAAAAAAATGAGTTTGCGTGTCACCTCTGACACGCGTGTCATAGGTTCGCCATCACTGCCCTATTATCAACCATTGTCCCACTTGAATATTTTGTCAGAGAGTGGTTCTAAGAAAGTGGCTGTCCTCCTGGTATCTAATTAATACACATATATTTGGGGGTGAGGTTGTTCATTCAATCACAGTATCAAACTTCTAAGGTTAGAAATATAATACACACCTACCAAACAGCCTGGACCCCATTTAATAACCGAGTCCTGCTTTGTTGTGTGGTTTAGCCCCTCTGTGGTGAGGCATTCCATTAACTGCCCACTGAATGAAGTAATTTATTTGGCAAAAGTTGAATTTTAAATATTAGTTAGTCTCCTCTTCTTTAATTTGCCAGGAAGATTGCATTTCTAATTTTAACTGTTACTTTCTTCTAGCTTATCAAACAACATAATGAAGATGTTTTAGAATATAAAAGAAGAAATGGGTTGGAATAAACTTTTTAAATGCTAATACTGTAAGTATGCAATTTTATAGGATTAATAGATTATGCAAGATAATTAAACTCTTTATTTTTATTGATTGACTTTTAGAGAGAGAGGAAGGGAAAGGGAAAGAGATAGAAACATCGATGAGAAAGAAATATCATCAATCAGCTGCCTCCTGCATGCTCCCTATTGGGGATGGAGCCTGAAAACTGGGCATGTGCCCTGACCGGAAATCAAACTGGTGACCTCTTGGTTCCTGGGTCAATGCTCAAGACCCTCAATTGCTGAGCCACACTGGCTGGGCTGAACTCTTTTTAAATAATGTATTTTGGTTGTGTGTTTTTCCTATTAGATTTATGCTTTTTAGCACCTATATTCCTGTCTGTGACAAATTTATAAATTTTTAGTATTTTGGTCTATCACAGTGATGGCGAACCTTTTGAGCTCGGCGTGTCAGCATTTTGAAAAACCCTAACTTAACTCTGGTGCCGTGTCACATATAGAAATTTTTTGATATTTGCAACCATAGTAAAACAAAGATTTATGTTTTTGATATTTATTTTATATATTTAAATGCCATTTATTTTACTTTATTTTTATTTTTTTTAAAGTTACCATGATTTTATTTCTGTATCCTAATCCAATGCTGTTTCTAACTGGAAATTTTATTTCTATTTGCACAGGTGAAGCCAGTAATACAGAACTATAAAAAAGAATGCATTAAATCAAAACACTAAATTTAAATGCCATTTAACAAAGAAAAATCAACCAAAAAAATGAGTTCACGTGTCACCTCTGACACGCGTGTCATAGGTTCGCCATCACTGGTCTATCATCACTTAGTGCAGCGGTTCTCAACCTGTGGGTCGCAACCCCTTTGGGGGTCGAATGGCCCTTACACAGGGGTCACCTAAGACCATCGGAAAACACATATATAATTACATATTGTTTTTGTGATTAATCACTATGCTTTAATTATGTTCAATTTGTAATAATGAAAATACATCCTGCATATCAGATATTTACATTACAATTCATAGCAGTAGCAAAATTACAGTTACGAAGTAGCAACGAAAATAATTTTATGGATGGGGGACACCACAACATGAGGAACTATATTAAAGGGTCGCGGCATTAGGAAGGTTGAGAACCACTGACTTAGTGTAATCATTTTTAACCATTATGCTCTGCCTGTGTTCAAAGAAAATTATGTTTAAGAGTGCAACCAAAAATCTTATTTTATTAAATCTAATAGGACTATACACAGTGCCTTCATAGCACTTATGATAAGTTATAATTATTAGTGTATTTGGTTCTTTTTTTAAAAATATTTTTATTGATTTTTTACAGAGAGGAAGGGAGAGGTATAGAGAGTTAGAAACATCAATGAGAGAGAAACATTGATCAGCTGCCTCCTGCACACCCCCTACTGGGGATGTGCCCGCAACCAAGGTACATGCCCTTGACCGGAATCGAACCTGGGACTCTTTGGTCCGCAGGCCAACGCTCTATCCACTGAGCCAAACCAGTTGGGGCTGTATTTGGTTCTTAATATCTACTTATCATATCCCCCACTTAAGTGTAAATTCCATGAGAACAGGAACCCTGTCTGTTTTATTAATCACCATATAGTCAGCAACTTGCTCAGTGTCTGATCCAACTAGGAGTTTCATATTTGTTGGATAGATGAATGTATAAGGGCAGGCAATAGATTGTTAATTTTTTACTGTGTGACCATTTCAGTATGATTGGTACTACAACTGAACAATCCCTGGTAAAACATAGCTGTGAACAAAATAACATGTATGATCTCTGTATGGTCTGTGATTCTGTGATTTAAAAGATAGTGAGTTTATGTATAATATATATACATATAGATAGATTAGGTTGATTAAAGTAGATAACTTATTTCTGCTGAGTAAAATAGTAATCACTAATGTATACTTTTCCATATTTAACTCTCAGACTCGGCTCTTTAGAGTTTGATTATCCAAATATTTGCTTTTTAAAAAAATATTAATATCAACTTGCCCATATCACTACTTCAGCCAATCAAGAGATAAAAATGAAATAGATATTTAAATCAAAATCAGATGCTTTTACTACTCTTTTGTAGTTCAATTAAATTATTTTTTGCTAAAACTTAAAATGAGGTGTTGGTGCTCTTTGTGGATTTGTTTTCTAGACTTTCTTGATGCTCTAGGGTTAATTATTCAGAATGGTCTAATTTTAATATTCCTGTTGGTTAATGCTGTAGTTTTAATTTCTTTTCTCTTCATTATAGGTATGCTCCATATAGAGTTGAAAGCGAGAGAGAAAAGTTATATGTGAATCTATGTAATCAGCATTTGTGTTTTGCATCATTAAATGAAAAAATAAAAATACATCTGTATTCTTCAGATTGTGTATGTTGTGACAATGTGTGGAAAATATCAATTCTAAGGTATATTATTAGAAGTATTTCATTGTGGAAGGTAACCTTCTGATAACAGAGTCAGTGGTAATGAAGGGCCCATTGGTAAGAAAATTTGTTAAGAAGATAGACTTAAAAATCTCTGTTGAAGGATTTATTCCTTATATTAACTTTTAATTTCTAGTGAAAGCATTTATTCTTTAGTGTGTCACAGAGATAGAGCTACTTTATTACTCAATTTACAAAAGAACCCAAACGCTCTTTTCTTCTAGCAGCGTCATTTTGGCTAAGGCAGAAAGTAATGTTGAATCCTGTTATCAGAGTTCCTTCTCACTCCATTTCTTTGAATTTGAATGATTTTTCACTTGGATTACTGATTATGGTAACACAAAGTTTATTGTCCCTTTTTGCTAATATTACTTTCATTCAATGATTAGCAAGCTCTTGATTGTTTCAAAAAGGAGTGGAGAAGGGAAAGAGTTGATAGACACAATTAAAATACACTTCATTTTGCCCTGGCTGGTGTCTCAGTGGTTAGAGTGTTGGCTTGTACACTGAAGGGTCTGGGATTAAATTCCTGGTCAAGGGCACATACCTGGGTTGTGGGTTCAATCCTGGGCTGGTCAGGGCACTTGCAGAGGGAACCAATTGATATGTCTCTCTTACATCGATGTTTCTCTCTCTGTCTCTCTCTGTCCCTCCCTCCTTCCCACTCTCTAAAAATCAGTGGAAAAAAACCCTCAGGTAAGAATTAACAAAAAAATAAAATAACGTACACTTCATTTATTCCTCATCAAAACCCTTTCTTGTAATCAATTAAAACTTTGTTAACTTGTAATTTAAAAACTTAGTTTACCATACATTTAAAAATTCAAAAAAATAAAAATTCATTGTCTCTCCATTCTGATGTTAAGTGGAAGGTTTATTGCCTTGTGATAAGCTGTATGTGTGTTTTGGGCTCTGGCCAACACTTATTGTGGAAGATTCATGACAATATCTTGGGAAGTCACTTCTGAATATAAATTCAGAGTTACTTATTTTGGAATAATTATGTAATCCAAATTCAGTGAAAGACCAGACATAGCAGTAACTGTTAACTGTTGCCAATTTGGAGTCCCAGCTGATAAGAGCTGAAAGGACCTTAGAGGTGATGTAGACCAAGCCCATAATTTTACAAATGCAAAACCAGAGGTGAGAGTTCACCCAGCATCACTGTGGTAGGTAGAATAATGGACCCCCAAAGATGGCCATGTCCTACTCTCTGGAATCTGTCCATGTTATGTTATATGGCAAAGGGGGATTAAGTTTACTAATCAGCTGGAATTGAGATGGGAGAGATTATCCTGGATTAGCTGGTTGGGCCCATTGTATTCACAGGGTCCTTACAAATGGGAGAGGGATACACAAGTGTGTGTGAGTATGAAGTGATGTGAGAAAGACTCAACTGGCCATTGCTACCTTTGAAGATGGAACGGGGTCAAGAGCCAAGGAGTAGAAAAGTCAGAGTCACACAGCTCTGTTGTCACCTTGATTTTAGCCCACTGAGCCCCGTGTAGGATTTCTCACCTACAAAACCATAAGACAATAAATCTTTGGTGTTTTAAAGACTGAGTTTGTTATAGTAGCAGTAGAAGACTACTATTTTCACATTGCAATAGAGACCAAGAAGTCAGCTATCAATTCCCAAGTCAAGGCACTTGCCACTAAAACACTTAAAAATTTATATTTCTGAAGGGAAGGGAAAACTAAGACACTTGAAATTCTGGAAACTGATAGCCTCAGTTGGAAATAAAATATAACTACAATGACACTACTGTAGGTCTGGCCTTGAGAAAAGTTACCCTGTGTGGACTTCCATCCTGATTGTGCCTGTACAACTCCAAGGGGAGCTGTCATGAAGACCTGGGCTGTCCAAGAAAACGTTCTGCAGAGATGGAAATGTTCTGTCTGCGATCCAGTACAGCAGCCACTACTCCCATGTGGCGACTGAGCATTTGGAATGTGATTAATGTGACTGAATTTTTCATATTTAACTTGAATTAATTCAAGTAGCCACAAGGGGCTGGTGGCTGGTTAGCACAGAAATAGATTATGCTATGAGTAAACACCTCACAGAGTTGTGCTACATAGTAACACTGGTTAATAAAAAAGAAAGAAAAGCTTTCTAAATTAAATATTAAAACAGGACTCAAATTACTTTAAACTAGAAAAGGGTTATGAAGATAGAGTGACTCACAGACCCAAGAATAGGAATACACCTGGACTCAGAAATAATTGGGGCCTGGGACTCAAATGTCATTAATACTTTTGCTCTTGGCTCTGCTGTCTGTGTACAGCCTCTGCATGCAGACCTCTTCCCCAAAACACATTGTAAAAAGGCCACAATCAATAGTTCCTGGGTCTACACTTCAGTTCAAGAGAGTAACTGGACTGGAAAGGAATCATTCTGATTCTAAATTCCCAAGAGGAACTGTGGTCAAATGATGGTTCCTTTGGTAATAACATGAAAGACTTGCCATGAAAAAGAGGATGCAGACAAAATGTAGTCATATGTCAAATGCAGTCAAGTTTTTTATTAGATCAAAATCAGGTAGACCTTTTTTCACATTTAATGTCTGTGAAGAAGTCATTTAAATTATTTTAAGTTGCCATGGGAAAAAAAAAAACTATACAAACTCAATTTCAAGTATAAGAAGTTGTTATGGGTTGAATTGTGCCCCCCCAAAAGATATATGGAAGTCCTAATCCCCAGCATCTCGGAACTGGGGAAGTAGGGCCATTGCAGATGTGATTAAGGTGAGTTCATACTAATCCAATATGACTGATGTATTTATAAAAAAAAGACAGACACATAGGGAGAAGACAATCATGTAATGATGGAAGCAGAGATTGAAATGATGCATCTACAAGCCAAGAATTACTAGCAAACAGAAACTAGAAGAGGCAAGGAAGGACTCTCCCATACAGGTTTCAGATGGGGCATGGCCCTGAAAACACCTTAATTTCAGACTTCTGGCCTCTAGAATTGTGAGAGAATAAATTTCTATTTTAACCCACCCAAGTCTGTAGTAATCTGTTATGGTAGCCTTAGGAAAATAATGCAGAAGTGTTTGGAATATCATGTTTATTTTGCTACAGAAGAGAAAGTGAGTAGATGGGGAGGGAGGAAAGACTGAGTGACCTTCGAGAATAGTTTTAGAATTTACCATCTTGATTGCGCTTCCCCCTTCATTTTATCTAAATATTTTAGTCCATCAAGAGGGTGCTTATCAGGACTTTCTTAGTTGCTTGCTAATTTGTCTTCCTAGATACGCGTCTAAATTATTTCACTTTAGCCCTGGCTGTGTGGCTCAGTTGGTTGGAGCATCATCCCATTCTCCAAAAGATTGTGGGTTCGATTCCAGGGCAGGTTTGATCCCCAGTGTGCCTACATGAGGCAAAACGGATCAATGTTCCTTTCTCACATTGATGTTTCTCTTTCCCTTCCTCTCTAAAAACCATTAAAACATATCCTCTTGTGAGGATTAAAAAAATAAATTGTTTCACTTTATATTGATCTGTTGAAACATATGGTCATGGCCTAAGAACTTAGTGCTAAGAAAAACAAAGCTGTTTCTACCTTTCTGTGGAGTTTAGGAAATCACCCAGTCTTTGAGAATTGCTTTTAATTATATAGCACTTAAGCCTTGAATAAGTGTGATTAATATTGCCAGTCGAGGACCTCACATTATGCATCATGTTTTCAAAACTAGTATCTTTGTCAACAGTCACAATTAGGTGGAGGTCATCTTAGATAAGCTAAGTTATCTCTGACCCTAGATTCTTGTTTTTCCAACAAGACCAAGAAAAATGTCAAGGATGTGCTCAAGGGCAGCATTGCAAACAGTGTGCTTAACAGCTGGGGAACTATTGCCCAAGCCTTACAGAGGCTTCTACAGCAAAGACCTAATGTTAAAATTCTCTAGGGTTTGTGAGAAGCAGCTTGCCACAGAGTGAATCTGACAACCCACAAGCATGTCCTCTCGTGAGAAATGTTTCAAGATGTGGGAAGAGTGTGCCATCAGACTGCAAAGCCACATACCCTCCAGGAGCAGTGGAGTAGGTAGAAAATTCCCTCCCATCAAAGAGGCATGAGCTTTTCACTAAGATGAAAGGGATGTGGAGAAGTGACACTATTTCTCTCAGTTTTGCCTTTCCCAGCTGGGATGGCCCCATCTAATCTAGAGGATACCATAAAGCCCCCACTGGACTCCACCATGTATCAGATAAGATGGTGGGATTGAATGGATCCTGTCATATGTACACTGAAAGGCAGCAGGTCATAGTAAGGGAGCCTTGAATTTTGGCTTAGGCTGGAAGTAGAATCTAGTACCACCTCCTCCAATTAGCTGAGCATGTTTCACACCTAATGTGCTTTACAGCTTACAACAACCCTGTGAATAAAAATTATCTACATTTTACTCAGACCAGTAAATCAGACCAGTAAATCTGACTCCCAAACTCATGCTCCTAACCACACTATTATACTTCCTTGATATTTTTCATATGTAACAGTGATAATCAACATTCCCCTACCTACTCTTTAGGGCTGTTGAAGATGAACTACAAAAATAGGTGTGACAATACTCTGGAGAAAGTTTTTAAAGTCCTATATAACCTGTGTTTTATTTTTGCATTTTTAAAACCAGTTTAGTTGTAACCAAAGGCCTTAGATTACATTTATGACTGATATCTGGCCAGAGATTTTTAAAAATATACTTTTATTGATTTCAGAAAGGAAGGGAGAGAGAGATAGAAACATCAATGATAAGAGAGAATCATTGATCGGCTGCCTCCTAAATGCCCCCCACTGGGGATCGAGCCTGCAACCCAGGCATGTGCAAGGCCAATGCTCTCTCCACTGAGTCAAACCGGCTAGGGCTGGCCAGAGACTTCTTTGTGATCATTGACCCCATTGATGGTGGGCTTGTTTCAGTGTCTCTTTAACCTGATATTTTAACCTCTGTGAGTGACAGCAGAAATCATATCTTGCTCATTAAAGAATGCCCTGAAACAGTGCCTAGCACATTATCCTCAATAAATGTTTGTGAAATCGATTATAACCAATCCCCAGCATCTAGCAAGGTCCCAGCGTATGGTAGGCATTTTGACAGATACTTATAGACAGTTTGATGGAACCAGGGATGATCCAGAAGACCTCAGACTACACCCAGACCCCGAGTCTACACTGAGTTCTGAAGGGGAGCCTGAAATGGTCCTGAGAACCATCGTTATATATAAATGTTCTCTCAGAAAGAATTATTTTTAGGGAAGCTTCCAACACATTAAATGCCTATAATGCATTTGCCACCTTTGACTATTCCTCTTCCTGGCAACCAAATCAAAATTCAGCCCTAAGGAAAGAATGAGCTGTGGTAGTAGACAGATTTTTTTTTTTCTTTTCTTTTTAAATTTCAAATAGGGTCACACAAAACTGGGGTGGTTAGAAGTACTCTGGACAGATTTGGTTTTATTTGTCAATCTGTCCTAGGCACTAGCAGTTCATTAAACATTCTGCACTACCAGTGAGATAGCTCATCACTAGTTGCAGGAGGATGTGTACCTGATGCTGGTCAAAGATAGCAAGTTTACTAATCTTCATTTTGTTACTTTCATGACTGATTAACTTCTTGGTGGAGGGCCTGGGGTCTACCCTTTCTTGTGCTGCTTCAGGTCTAAATTTGACCTCTCCTTAACTGCAGATTACCCAATTGCTCTTGTTCAGTGTTTAATCCCTAGGAATAGCTCCCCATACGCCAAGGTTGCGGTTCCATCCTGGGCACATACAAGAAGCGACCAATGAATGTATAAATAAGTGGAACAACAATCTCTCTCTCTCTCTCTCTCTCTCTCTCTCTCTCTCTCTCTCTCTCTCTCTCTCTCTTCCCCTCTCCCCCTCAAATCAATAAATTAAAATAAAGTCATCGTAACAGTGAAGTGCTGAGAGCCAGCCATTGCCTGGGGATTTCGCGACTCTGAACATCACCCAGGACACTAAAGGGACGGCTACTCCCCCTCTCCCCGCTCCCCTTCCACTCCTCGGAGAGCAAGGAGAGTGCGTGAGATAAGTGGGTTCATATTTCATCCGGCATGGGAACCAAAGTGTATGTCTTATTCCGGATGCGAACCCTGAAACACTTCCAACCTTCACTGAGGAATTCCACTTAGCAAACAGTACCGGCAGGCAGGTGACCGACTTCCCGATTCCCTAGCCTTCTCCTGAGATGCCTTCGTCAGCTTCTTGGACTTCGGAAAGAGCAGCAGAGCCTGCAGACTGGGGTGGAGAGAGGAAGGTGCCAACGACT